AATGCCAAGGTTGCAGGTTTGATCCCCATAAGGGACAGCTGCATATTCCTGTATTGCAGGGGGTTGGACTAGATGATCCTCGATGATTCTATGAGAAGCAACAACAAAAAAAGAAAGAAAGAAAGAAAGAAAGAAAGAAAGAAAGAAAGAAAGAAAGAAAAGAGAGAGAGAGAGAGAGAGAGAGAGAGAGAGAAAGAAAGAAAGAAAGAAAGAAAGAAAGAAAGAAAGAAAGAAAGAAAGAAGATGGACCTAAGGCTAGGTGTCTGAAAACCCAATACAGCCCAGTGAAGACAGAGCATGATAAATGACCATGGGATATTGAATAATTGTTGGGGAGAGGGAACCAGGAAGCCTGGTGGGTGAACAAATTTAACAGATGATCCTGAGACTCCACGCTGCAACATTTTGCTGCAGATTCCACTTGTATTAATATGAAGTTTTCAAAAGTTAAGCATTTCCCCGTATTGGTGAAATCGCATGATAAAATAACATCAGACTGACTCCTACCATTTTAAAATATATATTTTGGTAATCTCACAACCATATCTTTTGGAGATTTGTAGCAGCGTGGAGGAAAGTGGCTGGTAGTATCCATGTGAAATGCTGTGCACACTAATGGGTTTCCCCGCAGGACAATCGCCTTGTAGATACAATTTCCAACAGACCCGTGAAGCAGGTCTTAGTTGATATGCCTGCAAATTCCCTCGAGGTATCAAGCTTCTCAACATGTGCAAACAGAACCAGTCATTGGAAGAGAAGTGTATCAATCACTTCAGAAAAGTCTGACTGTGCCTTTTAGTATCGGTGGGAATTCAAAAAGGTCAATAAGCTCAAGGCCAGAATGTCATGGCACACATACAAAAAGAAAATAGATATTCCCCATATTAGTTAAGAACATTGGGTGAGGGGGAAGGGGGTGGAGAAGGTGTATATTATGAAAGAAAACGCTGGATTTGATCCGCACTTAATGTGTTCAGCCTTCTACATCAAGTGGTGAAAACAACGGCATAACTTTACTCACATCTGCTGTTTTAAACCACCATTTTCTCCTCAGTTTCCTCCTTCCCTGCTTTACACAAATTTCTGCCCTATTTGTTTTCATAAACCACTGCTTTTCACCTGTCCATGTCTCCCCTTTCTTGCTCCTATGCTATGACCACAGCTGATATGTAGCCGTCCTTTTCTTTTGCTCTTTTCCCCTACCCCTTCCCGACTTCATGGAAATTCAAGATTGTGATGAGGCACTACAAATCCTCCGCTGGGAGCTGTGCTATAACAACCTTGCATTTTTCTCTATATATGGGAAGACAGAGATGGGAGAACTTTTAGCTCACCTGGGTTTGTCGGACCCCAACTCCCGTCAGCCCCAGCCAGAACAGCAAGAGAGCTTATGGGAGTAGCAGTCTATCTGAAGGGCTCAGAGTTCCCCATCCTCGTTTTAATAAATATCATGTCATCTTGGTTATCCCATACCCTCCAACATTTTCCCAATGAAAATAGGAGCATCTTAAGGAAAAGCGGGACATTCTGGGATCAAATCAGAAACCAGGACTGCATCTGTAAATCCGGGACTGTCCCTGGAGAATGGGGACACTTGGATGGTCTGTATCCTATTCTTTTAGGATTGTAAATGACTAGCATAAATTTCAAAAATGCAATGTAAATGAACTTAGGCTGATGATACATTGCTTCTTTATTTTTATTTGTATTTGTATTTAAACATTAATTTTGGAAATACAGGGATGGCTTCTAGTCCTTCCGTGGCATTACATGCTTCTCTTTAGGAGCAAGTAGGTGACTGATTCATGGATGTGTCATGTAGCATCTAATGGCATTCTGATGGCTCCCTTCCCCCTTCCCCTGCCTACTGGTGTTTGCTTTAAGAAAAGAACGGTTCTTAAGAACAGTTTTGAATTGCCAACAACTTTATGGACTTGCTTTTTTTGTTTTGGAAATTAACTACTTTAATTACCTGCCTTGTCTGCTAGACTATTACTTGCCTTGTCTGCTGTGTTTATGGCCTTGCCATTTTCCTTGTATGGGCCACTTTAATGATCTTTGTTTGCTCAAGAATGAGAATAAGATTTACAATGAAGGATCTGTGCCTGTTTCCATTGTGGTGGGATCCTGTGAAAGGGCCTCCCAGTCAAAATCATGCTGTGGTTTAATTGAAGACAAAAGCATATCTCTGGACTTTCATTAAATGCTGTGTATCAGTTACAGGGAGACTGCGAGTTAGAGATACCGCAGTATGTTTATTTTAGGATACTGTATAATCTCACCTTCCCCCAACCCCATTTTGTTGCTGTTATTTCCCGCCCCTTTTATCCTGAAGAGGCCAGGGTAAGAGTTTAACAAAGCACTTTATTGACAGGATAAGTAAAATGAAGAATCAAAGAGGCACCCTTAATGACCTTTTGTGGATATAAATCATTAATGCTATGTGTTGTTGCTAACATCCTGCATGGGTCATAAAAAAAAACCCGGTTGGCCCTTCACAATGCAAGCAGAGGTGTTGGTTCTGAATAAAAATTTCCATTGCAAGCAGAAATGTTTTCCCACCTTTGATTTTTCTTCCTCTTTGGATTTTTGTATGCCCCCTCTGCCAAATTTCCCATTGAGTGTGAACCAAAACAAACAAGCCAAGTATTTTGTTTTCAAAGTCCCCTTAAAAACAAATGATCATGAATTACATTGCTTATTTTGATTTCTGCATGTCTTTTCAAGGCTTTCTTTTATTTTAATTTTTAGGGAAAGACATTGTTAGGTATGTTTTTTATCTCATGAAAAGCTGTAATTTGAGAGATTCAGTAAATCAAGGGCAGACAGTTTAATGTCTGTAGAGCATGTCTAGCCTGCCAGCCTTTTCTTCATACCTCACACGACCTCTCTTTGGCAAATCAAATCTGGTAGACATTAGGAGACCCATGAATCTAACATGGCTGACCCCTATTCTGAATATGTTACACAGTGTGGCAATAGAGAACAGCAAGGTGCTTCATAGTAGAGATCAGTTTAATCATCGTAAGAAGAACACTCCTGGATGAAACCAATGGTTCATCCAGTCCAGAATTCTAAGCAGCGTCCAAACAGATGCCTCCAGAAACTGCACCCGCAAACCTCAAAGGAACCCACAGTTATTTGCCACCACAGTTATGTGTTCAGTGGACCATAGTTTCTTGACGCGGAACTTCCACTCTGGCCCAAACTACATGTAACAATGAACATACCACTTGTAGTTGGTTGAAATACATCGGGTCCTCCTTTAAAGAGGGCGTGTATTGTGGTGAGACCTGGAAACCGACACCCTGTGTTGTGGGTGGGTACGATTGGCCAGCCACAACACCTGATTGGTAGGTCCCTCATAGCTGGGTGCAATCTGGCCAATGGGACGCAGTCCAAACGGTTTGAGGGACCTACATATACCTATGCACGTGACCCAGAGCTTCTTCTTTTGGCGCATTTATTCGGAACACCCGCCCACCTCTCCCTGTTTTTAGGGCTTTGCACTTGACCTTGCTATGCCGTCGTGTGTCGTCTGTCATTGGAGCAGGAGCACGGCAGGAACTTTCCCCACTTGGCTGATTGGCTGGTGCCATTTGGGTTTCGCCTGCTGCATAGCAAATCATCACAACTTGTAAAGTTGCAGATAGGTTCTGGTTCAGGTGATAGGGATGGGAGAACACTCTCGTCATCCCTATGTGAAGGGTATTCCGTTAAAGGAATCCAGGTACTTGATGGTTTGGTCAACCCCTGAGAGGGGGTTGTGCCCGTGCCTGAGTCCAGGGGGACATTTGGGTGGCAGAGATAGCCTGTTCCAGCTTTCCGCTTATCCAGGTGTTCACCCTTGGCTGACCTATGCTGGAACCCTGGGTCAGCGCTACCTGCATGGCAGGGAGCTAGTCAAACCAGAGCCTATGCAACCATTCACTTTCTGCAATCAATAAACTTGTGGCCTAAATTCTGTCAAAAACCAAAACCAAAATTTGAGACAAGTGTGAATTTATTTAGGGGGGAGCTTTCTGGGTCTGAACATGCAAAAATCAGTAGATTAGCAGGCGTGGGGAAAGCCATCAGGATTGGGTTAATGGCATGCAGGAAGGGCAGAGCTAGCCATTTCCCAGCCCACTCACAGTTACTACCTTGGCTGCATTAAGTCACAGGATACATGCTCCTGTTGGTGCCAGTAGGAGCCATATTTGTCTAACCCTTAAGTAGGTTGGTGGTTACCACAGCATCTTGTGGTAATGAATATAAAAACATGTTATATTCTGTCATCGAATTCCACTTTCGGCAATATGGATATAATTATTGTTTGCATAAGACCATTTGAATGTTTGCAGCTATGAATATAAGAACATATTGCAAATAATATCCCATCAGTTTGGAGTCATATTCCAAATTCAGAATTATGCATATCATGATTGTTAGTTACCATGAGATAATTTGAATGCTTAGTTTTTATTTCTGTAAATTGCAGGGGGTGGGGCACGCGTTATCTACATTTTGTTTTTGTGTATCAGATCAGGATATTCTTTTATAATGGCCAAATGAGAAAATTGGTGTAGTGACTTTAGAATTATCTCTGATCCTATGTTGTTTGAGTATAGAAATAATAACTGTTTACTGTGAATAATCTTTGCTTAGAAGAGAGGCCCAAGAATAGGCTAACGTGAGGAATGAATTACTCTTTCTTTCTACACAGCATGATCAGGTCAGGGTTGAGGGCAGAGAGGTTGGAGGGTGGTTGTGAATGCAAAACTTGGCATATGAACAAATAAAGGACTTAATGTTTCATGGCCCTAAGTATGTTGGCTTTTACAGGCGTGGTATCACTGATATTTTTAATGGAAGTAATCGCTTGAGCTTTAAAGCCAGCCTTTTATTGAAGTCTTGAAAATAGATATCCAAACAAAAATCCAATAAAATTAGCAACCTTTGAATCAAGCTTAGAAACGTGTGTGGATTTTTAACTGGTTTTTATTACCTTCATTTTCTAGGTCTTCGGGGATTTTCACCATGTAGCTGGCAACACAGAGTTCTTATTTAACCATCAGGCGTACTGCACAAATGGTAAGTTGTTTTGGCACAGCACGGTTATTACTGTGTAACTCAATGAATATTTGCAGTACTTGCATTCGTTGCCCAATGTTTTCCTGACAAATATGTAGAAAATTACAAAGTTCCTTATTTGAATTATTTACTTACCTATTATATATTTTGTGTGTGTGTGCCAGCCCTTTAAGGAGCTCCTAGTGACATGCACTTGAATTATCCCATTTTATCCTCACAGCATTCCTGTGAAGTAAGTTAGATTGGTGTGTGGGGTTGGCCCTACTTTTAGGCAAAGTGAGGTTTCCCTCTTAGGCAGTGGCTTTTGGATATCATGAGATGGAAGAAAATAAATTATTATTTATTATTGTGGCATATTTGTTCCCAGCAAGGTATTCTGGAAAGTGTTTTTTGCCTCAGGGTCCAAAATAACTTGGCCAGCCTTGGGTCCTGTGCACTTTGACTGGGATTTATTTGTATGTCAATTGCTGTCCTGCCTCAAGCAGAAAATATATGACTTGCCCAAGGTCGCACAGTGAGCATCCCTGAGAATTGAGGTTTAAGCCCATGCCTCTCTGTTCCAAATCCAGCATTCTAACTGCTGTGAAACCCTGCCTCTTTCCAGGCTATCATTGCTGTTGAGGTTTATTTTGTGATGAAAAACCTTATTTGGAGCAGAATTTCTAGGTCTCAGGTATTTTAGGCACTCACTTAGGCTTTTATATGCTGGTTTCACTCCCAGGTATGTTGACTTGATTCTTTTTTTCCTGTATTGATCATGCACCCTGACCCATTAGCATGCTGGCCTTGCCCTGTTCAAAACTGCCAGGCTTCCCCCATCTGTTGAAAACATACTTGTTGTGCCCCCCATACCAGTCTGAACCTCATTAACTGAGACCATCACTGGCTGGGCAATTTAAAATCACTACATGGCAAGCCAGTTGTTAACCTATGAAGACCAAGACTAATGAATAATCAGAGATTTTTTTAGTTTGAATATCTTCCTGATGGAATGCCAGATATGTTGAACATGAGGGCTTGACTCCTTATATGAGGAGTAACATAAAAGATGCATGATGCAACCAGTCTTAAATCTTATAGACTAGTTTCTTCCCCCAAACCCTTAATGTTCATAGTGTATACACACACTTTTGATTTTACAACTTGTCTGGGTTTCCCAGATGTTTTCACATTGTCATGAAATGGCTTTGTTGATATCCAACATTTCCACTTGAAACTTTACAATCAAGTGGGAAAGGCTCTTCTTCAGGTCCTGTGTTACACGCTCGAATGTTTGCTGATGTAGGAAGGGGAAAATCCAGCTCATAGAAAATGAGCATATAAGGGAGATGGCAAGGCTGAACGCTTCCTCCTGACATGCTAGCTTTGGATATGTAGGAAATATTTATAAATTGACGAACTTTGAGGCATGTTACTTCTCCCACTTGAATTGGCACAGTCTAGGAGGAACTGTTTTATTACTAGATTCATGTGTACTACTCGAACATATAAACTATCCCCAATCTTCTAGGCTGCATTAGTATCTTTGTTTCAGACTCTGCAAAGCCATGTTCACCTGAACATGGGAAGATTTAATCCATAAATGAGGGTAGGAGTACACATGTAGTCTCTGCCCCCCACATCCCAGGGTGTACAGGCTCCTCTTTGGCTCTTTGTGTGTGTAGCACGAAGGCCTGAAAAGAGTGTCAAAAGTGTCCTTTTGAATTTGCTTAGAAATATCCCCACATCTTAATCAGGTTTCAACGGACCATACTTGGAAACGTTCTTCAGACCGCCATGCAAAACATACAAGGTCTGAAGATAATAATAATAATAATTTATTATTTATACCCCGCCCATCTGGCTGAGTTTCCCCAGCCACTCTGGGCGGCTCCCAATCAGTGTTAAAAACAGTACAGCATTACATATTAAAAACTTCCCTGAACAGGGCTGCCTTAAGATGTCTTCTGAATGTCAGGTAATTATTTATCTCTTTGACATCTGATGGGAGGGCGTTCCACAGGGCAGGCACCACTACCGAGAAGGCCCTCTGTCTGGTTCCCTGTAGCCTCACTTCTCGCAATGAGGGAACCGCCAGAAGGCCCTTGGCGCTGGATCTCAGTGTCCGGGCTGAACGATGAGGGTGGAGATGCTCCTGAAGAGGAGCATCCAGACACATGGGTATTGTGGGAAAGGCTTTTGTCTGTATCCCAGTGGTCTTACACATGGACAATACTTTCCTGTGTTCACTTGAACACAGCTTTTCTTGCTCTTCTTTTAGAAACATTCCTCTTTTTAAATTATTGCCTCACTTTACATTCTCTATAAACTTCTGAAAATGCTACTCACTGTGAGACTGTCTATTCCAACCTCTGATGCTGATATTTTCTATTAATTGGTTTTGAACATTTTGACACTCTGCAGGCTCTCTAATTTTAAACAATGATTTATTTTGTCTTTAAATACTAATTTCATATCAGTGCAGCGTTCTTATGCATTCAGAGTGATAAAATATGCTTCAAACTCTATATCTACATTTAACTGTAAGCTTATTTGGCACTCCTGTTTTTGTTTCCTCTTCTGCTTTCTGAGAGTTCTGAAAATACATTACATTTTAAAAGATCTTTTAAGTTTCCACTGACTATCTCAGGGAATTCTTATGGATATCTAAGCCTGAGCTTCACATTCATCTTTGTTTATAGCAGCCCTGGTGTTGCGGCAAAGATAAGACTGCAGGAAGTACCTCTCCAGTGTCAAAAGTCCTCAGCTTTCATTCTTGTACATTTGTGTGCCCAACACTCAACATAATAATTTCTTACTGTCAACTTTAGGCTGATGTAATTTTAGTCTAGTAATTTTTTGCTATTCATTATCATCATGAGTGCTCTTAAGGGAGTCTGGTTTCCCTACACTTGTGGAGAAGATCAATTGAGATAATCTTGGCTTAATCCCATTGCACTCTGGTTTTGTTTATTGCTTCCTTTGTTGTGAAATTTACACAAATTACAAGAAAGACATAAGGCAGTGTGGTTATTGTTTCTGAAATACATGCAACAAAAAGGGCCGCTGAATCTTAAGACTGAATCTTGAGTACGGCATCTTGAAAATCTATTTATAGCAATTCAAATAACTAACTGTTGTGACTAAAATCCATAAGGAGCTCAGTGATGTTGGAGTCTCTATTTCTATCGCATATGCAGTCTATTTCTGAAAGGCTAGCATAGGATTACCATACATCAAACAGTGAAAATCTGGACAAAAAAATTGTTAAGCTTTTTTGGGCAAAGTTGGTCGAGTTTTGTTTCCTTGGCCCAAAAATTTGCAGTTTTTGAGCTATTTTTATGGGGGGGGAAACCACACTGCCGAAATAGGCTGACATACGCCTGGGTTTTACCAGACATTTGACTGATTTCCAGATACAGTGGTACCTCGGGTTACATACGCTTCAGGTTACAGACTCTTCAGGTTACAGACTCCACTAACCCAGAAATAGTACCTCGGGTTAAGAACTTTGCTTCAGGATGAAAACAGAAATCGTGTGATGGCGGCGCGGCAGCAGCGGGAGGCCCCATTAGTTAAAGTGGTATCTCGGGTTAAGAACAGTTTCAGGTTAAGAACAGACCTCCAGAACGAATTAAGTTCTTAACCCAAGGTACCACTGTACTGCTGCTGACTGTGGTATTCCTTGTATGTCCGGGTTAATCAGGATGTATAGTGACCCTAGCTGGCATATGTGCACTGATTTTAATTACCTATATGCTTCTCATTCAGTACATTACACATGGTGGCATAATTTGAAAGATATTGTAAAAAAGAAAGAAATAGAACTGACCTTTTAAGAATTTGGGAAAACCAGCAAATCCATTTCTACATTATGCTTCTTACTTTTTTAATAGCATGATGAGAGAATCACTTTCATGTCTAGATATGAGCAAAAATGGTTTTGTCACTGACTGCCAGTACCTTTATTAGAATATCTGTGCACTTCTATTCCCCACCCCCTTGTCCTTAGTATCTCACAGAAGCCTTTTAAATGCACGACTTTCATTCCTGGTTTCCCCCACAGCCCTGATTCTGTAGGCTGCTTGCCTGCCCTCTTCCCACAGCCTTGCAGTTTTGGATCTCCAGGAGATAACTTCCCCCCAGCACTTTCAGCAGGAGGGCATGTGTTTCCTTCTTGTGGAAGCTGCATAACATTTGTTCTTCCCTGTTTACAACTCAAGGAGGTTGGCTTGATTTTCCACCCCCCCCAAAAAAAAACCCCTCCTACCTGCTTTCTTGGCTTTCCTTTAGCACACAGGGGGGCTGCAAAATCAGCAATGATCTTAATTAAATGTTTTCTCTGCAGAAACAACAGGGCCTTTCTGAGGTTGAAATGCAGGCAGCAGACCTTATCACAAAAGACAAAGGCAAATATTTATCAAGGAACAAAAGAGTCTGGCTGCTTACATCTTGTTTGATTACCTTCCCCCTCCCTGCCCTTAGGGGAGATGTTTATCAGGGCTTGGTTGAGATTCTGATTGGCCATATAATCTACCAATATGCCAATTTTGTGTGAAGGATAGAATGGCATATATTGCTTTTAAAATAAATACAAATCATACCCTGGTTGTTGATATTTGGTCACTTTGTATTTGGAGAAGATGTACTGGAGAAGTAGTGAAATTGCTGCTTGCGAGGTTGTGTGTTGTTTGATAAGCACACAGAGTGCAACGAGACTGAGTGTTTGCGGGGGGAGGGGAGGGAGGCTCATTTAATTTCATGGTGCACAGGTTGTACAATGACAATAAAGGTATTATTATTATTATTATTATTATTATTATTATTTGCCTTCAGGTGGATTTAATACTGATTTGGAGTATGCAGCTGAAGTATACTATAAATCTGATTTTTATTGTAAACATGATCAGACATCTTTTAAAAAACTTAATCCACCTATTCAGTATAGATTTTAACTATTTGCTTTTTTTAAAAAAGGTAGGCAGTTAATAATAAAACATTGTAGGATGATCTAGCCTTGT